GTGCGAGTGTGTGGCACTGTCCTTCAGCTCATAATCCTTTTTTATTGCAAATGACCACGCCAAGGAGGCGCCGTGGTCGGGGGCGTGGCACTTTGGTCAGCTCATAAGGCTCATCAACAAGTTCATTTTACGGTCAATTCATTAAAAAAGAAAATAAAGCAAAAAACAATGGAACGGGCCAAACGAGTTTTTTTTTTTCACTTTTTCTATGTTTTCTCTCCTCATTATAGCCTCTATGCATAAAGGGTATGCAAAATGATGCCAGGACTTGCTAGCATTTAGACAACGACAATGTTCAATAAGTTGTAACCATTGTGAACCAGAGAACTTAACATCACTAGAATCCATTATTGGTAGTAGAAATTTTTGGTGAATAAATCGAATTGAAATTGGCAAAGTACAGGGAATCCTTAGACTCCATCACTTGGCATTCAATGCAACATCCTGTGTGTGTTTTTTTCTGCGTTTTATTACAATATTTAGTTGGCTCAGAGGTGTGGCACATGTGTGTGCTGACCCTCATTTGCTGACATTTAGTGGCAGTTTTCAGCAACGATGTCAACGCTTCTTGGTTTGTTGGTGGGTGCGTTGCTATTTTTTTTTCCAGTGTGCTGGCGTGTGTGTGCCTCATGCTAAACATGTAAGCCAACCCCTTCACCTGATAACTTTTTTCTAGCTTTTCTGTTTTTTTTTTTTCTCTACTTTGGCTTTAGCATTATTGTTTTTTTTTTGTTATTTATTTAATTTTCGCCTTTTTGGCTTGGCTTTAATTTTATGATTATTGTTTTTTCCCCACTGACGCGCCCACCTTTTGGGCCCGTCTTTTGTTCATTTCTTAAGTGGCGCTTTATAATGTTGACAGTTTTATTGGGGCGCAAAATGTGTTGGTCATTTCGCCTTTGTTTAGTTATTGCCTCTAAGCCCCCAAGTTGCCAAAAAAGCAACATTTTTCAAAGGTATGACAGATACACAAGGGTGTTTAGCTTGGGGTTTCTGGTCCGATTTGGTCCGTTTTTTTGCGGCCAAGCCTGGCATGTTTGTTTGTTGAGCAATAAATAGTTCAGGACTTAAATTCCCTCATTTGGCAAATAACAGATTTCATGGCATACTTTCGGGTCAATTTGGTTGGCTAACAAGATTAGCAATAGTGTTGGATCAGATCCGTTTGAAGTGGTCATCAAAGAGGTATAATTTATGCAACCCATAGCTCCTCCAAATTGTTTATCATTATACTACAAACCTGTCATGAGTATTTTTGGCTAAAAGTATAAGCATTTTCGACTTGTATAGCTTTTTTTTTAAACTAATTTAATTGAAAACATGATTTGTCTTCTTGGCAATTTATATTTTAAAGCCATTTTTTTTTCTAACCTTAGTGCTGCAATAAGAATTAAATCATACAATTTCCCCGCCTGCAAAGAACTTCTTCCCGAGCAGATTGTTCGCAATGACAAAGTTTCCGCATTAGCAAACAGAAACTGTGGCATAATTTGGGTGCTTCATTACCCACCTTGCCAAAATCTGTGATGTCAAGCCCGATTTTCTCAGCTCTTTATTGTTGTTCTTGCCTGTTCTTTTTTTTATATTTGGTTGTATGATTTTGCGGCTCATTTGGTTTTATTAAAATTATCACGTTTTTCACGCTTATCAAACGCTCGCATGCCGTGATTGTAGCTCATCGCTCTCCTGTATTCAGTATCCTGTATTCAGTATCCTGCATCATCCTCCCCACAGGCTGAGAAGGAAGAAGTTTAGAACGCCCCCCGCCCCCAGCTTTTATCCCAAAACACAGACATCATCCCTTATGTGAGCCTTTACTTTTATGCTAATTTCCAAAACCGAAATGAATAAATGTCTTTTCGGGTCTGAAACGCCGCGGTGCCTTTTTCGTTTGCTTTTATTATTGTTATGGAAATTTTTATAGTTTCCCCATCATTTAGTTGCCCACACACAGAAGGGCGAACAATGTCTAAACGCTTTTTCAATTCAAAAGTTGCCCAACATTTTTTGCATGGCGGCAACCTTTTTGTGTGCGGCCAAAGTTGAACATTTATTTTAAATACTCACAGCTGTGTGCAAGACAATAGCATTTATTGCTTGCTTTTCAAGAGGCAAACAAAAAGTGCGTTTATAGTAGGAACTTATCTACGATAATAAAACGAGATAACCGCATTTAAAACCTTATTCAATATATTTACTTATATCATTTGCTAACAAAGTATTGATTACTTATATAATTGAATAACAAATGCTTTATTACTTGCTTTGCTCACAATATAATTGCTTGTATAAAATAAATATATATTGATAATTATATTTAATTGGATTAGGAAACATAAAAATTCGTTCTGGAGAAACATGAACTTTTCTTATTATTATGCGCTGGGGTGTACGGTCCATGGGAGAACACCCGTCCCAATTTTGTTATCATTTGTTCTAACAGAATTGTATGCAATAAATAAAAATTACACGTTCAACAATTTCTATCTGGGCGCTGTGATCTGCTTTCAACAATGGCCACGGCCAGTAGGGTTGCCACCCTCGCTCCGAACCTCTTCTTTTGCCGCCCGCCCTTTGCGGCCTTCTAATTGGATATGTTCGACGTTCGACGTTCGTCTTTGACTTTGGCTTTTGACTTGACTCTGGCTTTCCTGGCCAGACAGAACGGGCAAATTCCTTTCGAGGATAACCCAAGGATGGTGAAGGAAGGGGAAAGAAAAATGTCGCTGGCAACTCCTTTTTTCTTGTGTTGCTGCAACCCTGCCGGGGCAATCAGAACTTATGTTTACCCCAATTAAGGTGAACACGAGACCGTTTTTGCGATCCAATGAGTTAGAAACAAGATAAAGGACCCAAAGCCCGGACAATAAGCCCAGTATCTGGGCTATCCGGGGTCGCAGTGCCCATTCCCGTTCCTTGGGAACCCACGTTTCAGGATCCAGGGCCCAAACCCTGTTCCTGCTCCTTGTTACACCGAAACAAATGCACCTGTAACTTTTTGGGCACAGCTTTCTTATGTGCATGCCATTTGTCGCTATAATATCGAAGCGACTAATGGATTGCGATTTTACGCTCTTGCGATTTTACGCTCCCTAATTCCCTAATTACTTTCAAGACACAAATGTCGGTGAAAAGTTTGGTGCAGTGCATGTTCTCCGCCTGCTGCCATGCATGTTTATGTGCTCTCGTCCTTCTCACAACAATGCCTCTGGATCGGAGAGAGACGGCGATAAAGGGGTTCGACATGGACGGCGGCAAAAAGGGGAGGAAGGGCTTGAAGGAGCAGCTCTGAATGCCGGAGCAATGATTAAAAATTGTGCAAGCGTGTGGCGGCCACATCGGCGACGTCGATTGCGGTTCAACTTTCAGTCGCAAAACTGTGGCAGCTCTTCAAGGGGGCCGGGTCGATGGGTGATTGCTGTGGAAGGGGTTGATTAGGAGGCTCCAAAGCCCCAAAGCCCATGACCAGCGCACACAGAAAAACGCAGCGAGAGGCTCAGGCGGGTCGCAAAATCCAAAAACCAAAGTCGTTCGCTTTTATTGTCATTTGTATGCGTGCTGTGTGAAAAGGAAGCAGGGACGGCGCCCGAATCGGGCTAGTAGCCAAGGGGGGTTTAGGCGCGCTAAGCCTGCCACTTGAGATGGCAGCGTGAGGAAGCCACAGGCGAAGGCGCCGAGGGCGCAGCCAAAGTGCACCTAAAATTACGCAATTGGAACAATAAAATACATGATATTTTAAGTGATTTTCATTATCAGCCAAATGAAGACACATACATGATGCAGCAGTGGCAAGTAGTATTGAAAAGATGAAAACTAGTACGTTTATATGGGGTTTCCAGATCTCGCATGTACTTATACATTTGATCTTCATGTTTACATAATGTTCCAAGCTGCTGTTGGCTAAGCTAGAAGTAGCAACTTCAAGACCCACCCTCGTGATTCACGCACGCGGCGAATCGCTTGAGACCTTAACCCTTTCCTAACGGCCGGCCGATAGCTTGCAGTGCTTCTGCCTCAAAATACTCATTAGCCATAACGACCGCTCCGCAGGGGGATTGAATATCCGGGTGGAGGGAGATGGTGGGGATACAGGAGACGGGACGCAGGACATGCCGGCTGTGTCGATGTCCATGTCTATCTATTGTCAGCCATCAGCCACGCATGCAGCGCCAGGATCAAAGGAGGAAGGAGCCAAAAGCTGATGTTCTGGTTCCTCTGTTTGGTTTTCGGCTGGACGTTGCCGTGCCATTCCCACTACCCAGTACACTGAGAAAATGCCGTTGGCAAAGCCAAGCATGTGCTTTAAACGCAGCTTATCATGCAGAATCAACAAGCTGACGGAAATTTCTCACCGTGCATTTGGGAACTGGAGACGTGGGCCTATCTGCGCCTTTCCACTATTTACACTTGGCTCATTTTATCTAGTTCGATTGGCAATTTATCTGGAAACCCTTTGTCTGTGCTTACCTTTATAATTGGAGAGGCAGCATATCGGTTTTTGAATCTTAATTTCTGTGAGGGCAGCAAAAGTTAACCGAGCACATGCTGCACAGCGACGAATCGCAACAAATGGGAATGCTGTCAGGCCTGAAATCCTTTTATAATGACAAAAGGTTTCCACCTCTAAGCGGATTACAGCAACAGCAAACGCAACAGAAGCACTTCGAGCTTTAGACTCGAGGAGCAAGTAGTGCCCACCACGCCCTGAGGCGTCAGGGAGGAGAAATGGGGCCACAGAGAGCATTTCTAATTAATTGGGGCTGCAGCAGCTATGAGGAATTGAATCTTGAATCGAACGAACTTATATATTTGGTCAGAAGCGCTGCAATACATTTGGTAAATACATTTGTGTAAATGGAATGTGTAGTTTTTTTCTCAATATTCGTCATTCATTATGAAAATAAGAAAATTTCGTGACGATACATGTGCCCCTTTTTTTTTTCTTCTGTGTGGTGTGGGTGTGTGGTGGGGCTGTGTGGTGTGTGGGTGTATGGTGTTGGTGTGTGAGTGTGCGTGCGAGTGTGTGGCCAAAAGCTGCCTACACAAAATGTAGAGCGCTTCTGATCTTCGTTCTGATGCCATCGGATTTATAGGTCCAAGCTCTCACTATCGCTGAGATCCTCGGATTCGGCAAATGGGGCCGTGTTTCTGGGCAGAAGGAAGCGCACCTGAGGAGCTTGGGCGGTGGGAAAAGTGTGTTGGGTGACTATACCAATGCCAGTGCCATCTCCAGTGGCTTCTCCAGTGGCAAAGCCCATGGCCAAGTCCTGAGAGCCCATGGCAAAGTCCTGAGAGCCCATGGCCAAGTCCTGGGACCAATCGAAGCCACCACCACTGGCAGCGGCCTCCGGATCATGCTGACCGTTGGACGAATGCAAGAAGATCAAGTGACTGGCAATATGAGCGATGCGAATCGGATGCGATAATGGCACAGCTGCGCACACCGGGCAAATAACAACAGTGCGCGACAAGCGATGCTGTTCCTTACAGTGCTCCTTCAGGTCTTCGACAGACAGACCCATTTCGCCGCACACGGGGCACGTGAAGCTATCGGCGCACAAGGTCGGAATCGGCTCCCCGGCGAAGTGCAGCTCAAGGGCGGCACGATCCATTAGGCACTGGAGCGGATGGGTGAGATCGTGCAGCCCGTTTGAGACACCATTCTCCTTGCAGGTGGAGCAAAGGTCATAGTCGTGGCACCGCAGGCACTTGTAGCGATAGTGGACCAGCCTGCTGTTGCCGCAGCCATCGCAGTGCACATCCATGTGGGCCGACACTTGAGCGTCGTGGCCGCCAAGGGTCGTCGATGGGTTATCCTGCCGGAATTCAACCAAATTCATATCTATACATAGGTATCGCTCACATATAACCATTCACTTACAGAATCAAATAGACAGTATATTCTCATTGTTGAATAATATGTTGAATGTAAAAATGGAAGACTTCAAAAGTTATTCAGGCGCCGGCGACTGTGATGTGACTAAACAGAATTCTTCCGATTACGATGACGATAAACATAAGTCGACACTACTTACATACTTTATGTTAAAAGTAAAATGGAACACTGGCCAGTGTAAAATGACTCAAAAAAATACTTTCGAATACGATTCCTGTTTTATCAGAGTTGTTTTTTTTTGTGATAAACATGCGCCGAGACTAGCACGTGCAATGTTGAATATGCTGAATATGTATGTTCAAAGAGTAAAAAAAACACTTCAATAACTATTTACACAAAGGCGACTGAGATGTGACTAAAAAAATACTTTTGTTTACGATAACGATAAGCATGACAGTGTTGGAAAAGCAATTGCGCAAGCACGTGCTTTTAAATTGAAGAAACTATGCAAACATTGTTGTTGCCCAGTGTTGACCATCCAAGACTTCAGCCGATTCGAGTCAGATATTATGTTTAGGCCCAAATCCACGCCCCCAACTCCTTGAAATGCCGCCTGTTGGCTCGTTTTGGTTTCGTTTGTTCGCGCTTTGTACATAAATTTCATGCAAATTGACTAATTAATTTTTGCGCAATGGATTCTTATCGCATGCACTGGCCAATATATTTGATATTTGCATAATGCATGTGTGTGTGTTGGCTGGCTGAGCGTTTTTTTTTTAGGTGAGTTCAGGTGATGGGCCTAAGGCCAGCCCACGCACTTGCATTCGCCCCCAGGCTGATACACTGAAAACTATTCTTTTATATGGGTATGTACCAAAAATAAATCTATCCGCGGGCGGGATGCTATTTTATGGCCAAGTTATTTAAGACACTCAACTCCAAGAATATCTAACAACTTCAGATAACTCTTTTTTCTAGCATTTTCTTGTTGTTACCAAAGTTTTGTTTGCAGTTTAGCCGCTGTGGTGCGGTAAAAACAACAACCATTTTAATGACGCATATTAAGCATAACCACACAACTAAACGGAGAGCAAAAGGGGGTACACTGCGGGAAATTGGTGGGGCGTGGGGCGTGGGGAGTGTGGGGTGCACAGTATATGTTCGTATGTGCGGGGAAAATGCACAATGCTTCCGTGTTTTTCCCGCAGGACAGCGGCTGCCTTTAAGCCTGCCAAATATGCTGATTGCAGCAATAATGATGATTATGTTTGCGCGGCCTGCATGCGCGGCTCGAATTTGTTGGCCACAGCGGAAGGAAGTCGAAAGCATTGACAATGCCAGCGACACGGAACATGGCCAAAAGGGGGTTCGGCTTAAGGGCGGCGCAGGCAGGGGCGCCCCAGAGGGGGGCGGGGCAGGGCAGGGCAAGTGCAGCCACAATGCCAACGACAATGACGAGCTGCAAAGGCATTTAAGGACTTGCAAATGGCACTGCTCCTGCTCCCGCTCCCGCTCCTGCCACTTGACTACTCGACTGACTGACAAACTGACTAACTGACATCCAACAAATGCGAAAAAGAAACATCTAGCGGGTTGGTAAGCGGCAGCTTATGGAAATATCCCAAGACCGAAGGGCCCAGCTCGTTGAGGGATATACTCTTTCCAAATCACTACATGTTATATTACTATCTGAATTGTGCTACACTAATTTTGATACATTCCAGCATGGTGATCGTTTATTCACTGAACTACTCTTCAATCGGGTTATCTACTTTATGGTAACTGTGTAATAACGAAAATGCATGCTCTTATTTCGATAATATATTTTAAATAATTTTTAGGCTTAAATGGAAAGTCAAACAACCCCACTAATTGAAGGGCATACACTGTGCAACAAAATTATTGCGTTGCGTGCATAAACTTTCTGCAGGGCCTGCATATGCGGAACGCAGTTAGTTTTGCCCAACGCTTTTCCATGCTTTTCCACGCTTTTGCATTCCCTCGGAAAAGCGGGCATTTCTATTCCGGATGACTCTTTGCCTGTGTGGCCATATTAGCAAAGTGAATTGGTTTTTATTTGTTACGGAAATGTGGAAAATTATTTTCAGCTGTTTGGTCGTTTGGCTGATTTGCATAAGTCGCAGGTGACAGTCGTCGCTGTATTTTCCCAGCCATGGTTTCATTTTCCGCCCAGCCCCGCACCGCCCCACCCTTCACAAAAGTCGCACACTGCGAGATCGGTTTCTAGATTACAGCGAGCAATCCCATTCAGCTGAGTGCATTTTACACATAAGGTGCAATCTGCGGATCAGACTTTCTTTCGCTCAGTGTGCCAGCCCAGACGGCCCAAAGAATTTAAAGCAGCAGCTGTGGCTTAGTCCGATTTGCCTCTTACCATGCATGCACAAAGCGGCTTAGATGGGCGAGCGGTGGGAACAGGACAGGGAACAGCAACCAGATGTGGGATCAGGAGAGGGTCCTTCGACTTGGATTCCCCTTGGAGTCCGCTTGCAGTCCACCACGGGCGACGACTGACCGGCGGTGATAAGACTGGCCGCCCAGATTCCGACTCTCCTCAGACCTTCGTAATAAACACAAGACACAAGACACTTGAGTGGGGCAATTTTGGTTTATTTTGTTTATGTCTCCAATGGGGGAGTTGCGCCGTTCTGTGGTTGGAGGAGCGGTGGGCGGAGGGCGGTGGGGCGTGGCGATCGCCGGCGGTGGCGGTGGCGAAAAAAAAACCGAAAACCTAAGCGGATTTTGACCATTTGCCATCATGATGATTGATTCAATGCATGTTTTATGTCGGGTATTTTTTAGCCCGTTCGACAAGCGATTTCGGTATTTTATATTTATGGGGCTTTTATTTTCAGCAGCTCTTTGAGCAATAATAAATTTTGATGTTCAACAACACAAAGTCACAAAGTCGAAGCAAAACGTTGATATTCAAGATAACCGTGTTAACATTCTACTTAGTATAGGTACATACATATGTACAATCTAAATCAGAAAATGCATACTTATTTTTCTAGTGAATTTAATCAAATGTCGTTGTTATTGATGTCTAAATAAGTTATTTTGTTATTATTTATGCCGACTGGTTTCTTGAAATGAATGCCCGCAGCATAGAATTCGGCATTGTTGGTAGTTAAATTTAATTCACTTTTCATTTCGGCGCTTGAGACTCGTGACTTTTGGCCAGAGATCTCGGGGGAGAAGCACTGGATGCATTTTCCCGACCTCTTCGATTTGCCTGCCGCCCCCATCATGAATTTATCAAGCCCACTCTCCGGTTTTCCCTTTGAGCAGTGTCCTCTTTGGGTTTCCGTTGGCTGCAGGTTTTTATGCATGTGGCCATTAACCGTCGACTCCAGCCCCCAGTTTTCCAACCCATTCCCGGAAAAACCAAAGGCGGTCATCAACATTGCAACATTTGCTGGCTTGACTTGCAGCTGCTCGTGGGAAATCAGTTTAATGGAAATTATAGCATTCGATTACTACTCAAACTAAGCCTACCATGCTCTGCTTTTCCAATAGGTTTTCCCCCGCCTCTCCGCCCCACCATCGCTTTTTCCATCCCACTTAAGTGGCCCGGATTGGGGCTCATCAAGGCAACGGCATCCATGGAATTGGTCCCAGCTCATCGGAGTTTTTGTCAAATGCCTCAAAGTATGCACCAAAATGAGAGGGAGAAAAGCCTGAAAATGCAGTAGGCGTGTTTGGCTTGCAAAATTCTTCTGGCCCGAACAGGTGAGCCAGATATTCCTCCTGTCATTTACCGTTGATGCGACAAACCAATGGACTTGGCAAATGCTCTCAGAGAGCTAAAGCGAAATGGGGGCGGAGAAATTTGGGTCATTACATAATCTTATTATATTGGGTTGCAAATGATCAATAAACGAGGCAATATTGCAGAATTTTGACCACATCATTGATAACAAGCTTTGTTATTTGTTTAGTTTTGTGACCTTTTTAGCCAAGTAAAGTCGTTTTCCCGGTTTTCCGTCAAAAAATAATCCGATTTTTGGTCATAACATAAAAAATAATGGTCCAAATATGGAATGCTATACCTCGATGAGCTCGTAATTAAATTTACAAACTTTTGGCGTTCAAAGTTTGAAATCTTAAAATTTTGCCATTTTTTGTAAATTTTGATGATGTTACCCCTTGCCAAAAATGCGAAAATTGGCCCAAAAGTGAATTTCGCTTAGTCGGCCAAAAAGTGATAGGGATCGTTAGTATTAATAAAAAGCTTTGTAAAACGGTTATTCTTTTAGTTTTGCGACCTTTTTTAGCCAAGTTATGACAATATAACCCTTAGTAAATTTCGAATTTTTGGCAAAAGTCGTTTTCCCGATTTTCCGTCAAAAAATAATCCGATTTTTGGACATAACTTTAAAAATATTAGTCCAAATATGGAATGCTATAACTCGATGAGCTCGTAATTAAATTTACAAACTTTTGGCGTTCAAAGTTTGAAATCTTAAAATTTTGCCATTTTTTGTAAATTTTGATGATGTTACCCCTTGCCAAAAATGCGAAAATTGGCCCAAAAGTGAATTTCGCTTAGTCGGCCAAAAAGTGATAGGGATCGTTAGTATTAATAAAAAGCTTTTTAAAACGGTTATTCTTTTAGTTTTGCGACCTTTTTTAGTCAAGTTATGACAATATAACCCTTAGTAAATTTCGAATTTTTGGCAAAAGTCGTTTTCCCGATTTTCCGTCAAAAAATAATCCGATTTTTGGACATAACTTTAAAAATATTAGTCCAAATATGGAATGCTATAACTCGATGAGCTCGTAATTAAATTTACAAACTTTTGGCGTTCAAAGTTTGAAATCTTAAAATGTTGCCATTTTTTGTAAATTTTGATGATGTTACCCCTTGCCAAAAATGCGAAAATTGGCCCAAAAGTGAATTTCGCTTAGTCGGCCAAAAAGTGATAGGGATCGTTAGTATTAATAAAAAGCTTTGTAAAACGGTTATTCTTTTAGTTTTACGACCTTTTTTAGCCAAGTTATGACAATAATCCCATTAGTAAATTTCCAATTTTTGGAAAAGTCGTTTTCCCGATTTTCCGTCAAAAAATAATCACATTTTTGGACATAACTTTAAAAATATT